CTAAATTCGCGTTCATTGTTTTGATTTTGACCGCCTGACAACTTTACGGAAATATCAGAGTGATTATAAACAAGGACTCTGTGACGGGCAACTTATAATACCCGTGTTTTAAAGATTTTAATGATATCAAGCCAGTCCAGTTCAAACTATTATCACGTGGTACAATTCTCATTTACATATTATGAATATTAATTAGCAAAAGTACTACTAATTTCTGGCTATGTTGTACATCCAAACAACAAAAAGACACTAAGTACAGATCTAAGAGTACTCGCAGTTACTGACAGCTAGTTCAAAGCCACTAACAACTAATAAAAAATCATGCATCTAAGACTAAATTATCAATCCGTACACATCCAACATCCAATGGATTTAGTGTAAAGATGTCATAAACAGTCAGAGAAAAACATGACCTTGTGCAATGCCAAGATACAGGTATCAACAGATTGTAGATCCATGAATGTGTATATGTATATAACAATTATTTTTAGTTTGTTTTTAATTTACTGATAACAAAATCAATATTAGTACCAATAAAAACAATATTTAATGATCTAATTACAGTGTTGAATTGGTAACCTTTTAGAATAAGTTTATTTAATAAGCCTGGAATTTTTGATTAGATTTAATATCATCTTATTTGTCTATCAATAAAGTAACATAGTTTTGAAAGAATGGAAGAAAATTATTATTTTTGCAATTTGTCGGTTCACATAATGACTCTTTATTCCTCCTTTTGTTTGCTCTCTGCTTTCTATTCAATAACAAATATATCGATGTAATGTCTAAATACACAATAACAATTATTGTCCTCAAAATTGCCAATGCAACATTACTATTGATCGTTGTCATTTCTTATACCTTAATATTATAATTTATCATGATAATGTTCATATCAGAATTTATCTCTTTTCCTTTCTTTTATGGTGACTTCCTATAGCCTCCGTCTTACTCACTGTTCACTACTCTACTGGTTTCATATTCGCGCGCGTTTGCAGTGACATCTTAGATTTTAACTGACGTACAATTTTATTGCTGAAATGTTTTTACATCAAGGATGTAGAAATCATCAGTTGGTGTTAAGTTTATCACAAACATATTTATAGATTTATAATAAAAGCAAGATTCATCCTGTAGAAATTTGATTTATGAAAATGGTATTTCACACTCGGATTATTGCGGTCATATAATTTATATAGCTAACAAATTAAGAAATTGTCCTTAAAATCATTCTTTTTTGGCTTGATAGACTTATTGATATATGTTATAATTATACCTCTTTTGTTTAATAATTGTGTCTTTTTTTTTTAGAATGAACCCTTTTTGTTATATTTGGAATGACAGTAAAGGTACAATAGGAGTAGGGGCATTAAGGCCCGGTTTCGGCCAAAAAACATAAAGTTTTTGAAAATAATTTCAAAATCGCACATTATTTTTGGAAATGCATAAAATCAAGAATTATAAATGAATTACACAAAATGTTTGATGTTATGACGTCACAATAACGTCATAATATGCATCTTTTGTATGAAAATGGAGAAAACTGTAGAATTTATTCATTTTAGAAACATCATGCGCAGTAAAGAAACAACAAAATGATTTAAGAGAAGCTTTATTTTATCTATAATAATATAAACATGATCTCGCCAAATATAAAGTTGTTTCTCGGGTGCGCACATACTTTTCCAATCTAATTTATACAAAAAAGTTGATGTAAAACAAGGAACATCAAGAAATTTTACATGATACATGTATACTAATATAGTCATGGTTTGTTGCCATGGTAACTCGTTCAATATGAAAATGTGTTTTTATTTTTTGAACACCTTGTACCTTACTATAGTTATGACAAATTCAAGAATATATATGGTAACTTTTCAATTTTAACTGATATTTGGGCCAAATGATGGCCTTATTGCCCCGTCTCCTTTACTGCACCAGATGAACATTTCGACAATTAATATCTCTTTGTTGATGCTCTAAAATATTTGAAAAACAAAAACTTAACGAAAACGTTGTAGAGCTAATTTAGCCTAAACAAGACAACATGACTAAAATGTTTACTTTTTGTATTGCAGTTCTGACCAAGTTTATACTACGAATTGCACGAGTGGTCTCCTTGTACTCTTTATAAAGTTGCTGTTTGAAATGTATTCTAAAAGAGGGACGAAAGATACCAGAAGGACCGTCAAATTCATAGATCGAAAACAAACTGACAACGCCATGGCCAAAAATAAAAAGACAAAAAGACAAATAATAGTACAGATGACACAACATAGAAAACTAAAGACTAAGCAACACGAACCCCACCAAAAACTGGGGGTGATCTCAGGTGCTCCGGAAGGGTAAGCAGATCCTGCTCCACACGTGGCCCCCGTCGTGTTGCTTATGTTATTACAAATCCGGTAAATAGTCTAATTAGGTAGGTCACATTCGTGAAAAGGGAAGGGTATTGTAGTTACGACATAAGGAACATATCCGATATCATCTGTGAAACGGTTATCCCATAACGGTCAACCAACTCGTGATGGCGTCCGTACAATTTACGAAGGGATGATTTCAACTTCACCATTTGGAACTCTTGGTTTAATAGCTTCAGTTTGAGCAGCAATCCTCTATCAAGGAAATCATGATAGGAAATACAAGCCTGGGAATATCGTATCAATTGGGAGATATATACTCCGTATGCAGGCGCTGCTGGAATGTTGCTACATAGAAATGGAAAATTCACAATTGGTTAGCTGAAATCATCTCTTTTATCGTAAAGTTTAAGATAAAGCTACGATATTACAGTGTAGGGCGGCTTGATTTCATATCACCCGGTTGCATACTTTGAGAATGCCTTCAGTAACTGCGATCTTACAAAGTAGTTCATGTGCCTGGTCAAAGTTAGGAAACTCGAGTCAGTGGTTGCATTTTGCAATATTAAAATGTTTATGTCACCGAATTTTTACTTGCCATGAGCAACACCATATGTGTCATTAGTAAAGTATGATCTACTTACCCTTCCGACGCACGTGAGATCATATTTTTTTTAAGGTCGGGTTCGTATTGCGCAGTCTTTACTTTTCCGTGAAGTGTTTCGTAAACTGTTGTTGTCTTTTCGTCGTTTTTCTTTTTTTGCCATGGTATTGTCTGTTTTTCCTTAACTTATAGCTTTTGATGGTTCCCTTGGTATGTGTTTTAGTCAACGACAAAACTACCTATTTTGTTTAGGACCATTTTGGTTAAATATCTTCGCAAATATTCATACTTCCCAGTTTCAATTTTGTTTTAGTTTTGGGCGTTTCTGATAAAGGTAACTCCCAAAAAGAGCTTAGAAAGCACCCAATTCATAAAGTGTTATTTTAATTTTCTAGCACTGGGTGTATAAGGTTCAGTCCAGTAGTCAATGTGCTGCCAATGAGATGATTTATAATATATGTTTCTTTAATTTCATGTTGATTTAAGAATGTTCCCAATTTTATCACGAAACTAAGGTTTCAACTTCCTTAGGCAAAATTTGTACATTTGTAAGATAGTTTTGGCTTTTTTGTTTGGGTTCTTTATGGTCATTTAACTAATAAAATTTTTGCATATCCCTGTCTTTGAAAGTTTTAGCTTTGAACATTCCTATTAAAGGTAAATCCAGAAAAGCTCTTCGGACGCACAAATTTAATAAACAGTCACCTTCATTTAGTATAAATTAGTAATTTGGTTTTCTCCCTTTTTAATTGTTTCCCATTTTGTCACCCAGTAGCCTTTTATAGTATACTATATAGTTTGAGTTTTGCTCATTGTTAGTTGACTCGTAGTTTATTGCATCCTTGTCTTGTCTTCAATGGATAGTTGTCTCGTTGGCAATCTTACCTCATCTCCTTATTTTTATACATTTGGCCAAATATATTACTTATGTTTATGACGTCACATTTACATCGCAACTTTGTTTTATTTGCACTTTTAGCCGTCTTACTAAATAACTCTTTTCATTCATCTATAATATATACATGTTTTTAAAATGATTGAAAAATGTTGCCACTTTTGTATTTTCAAAAGGGCCACAGTACCTTATCCCCTGTTTAAGTGTTCATTTGAAAGGCAGGGAAAAGACGACAAAACCAATGTCATACCACAGTGAACATTGAGTTAAACTCAAACTAAAGGATTTTCCTAGATGAACATGCACTTAATGACGACACACAATTAGGTAAAGCAGTTAACACTATAATAGTATGATTATTGTTCTTACATTTACTGGTTCTTTTCGTCAAATCTGATTGAAAATATTTATAGCTAGTTTTATTAGTAATTGAGCCTGACATTCACGTCACTCTTCCTTTAGTATTTAACAATTACTTTTCATAGAAGTTTCATACTATTCCGTAATTTTGATTTTCCTAGGAATTCCAAAAATTTTATTTTACTTCCGTATACAATCTATGACTGCACTTGCCCTCCGTGTCAACGTTAAAAAATCATGTCAAGGATAGAAAAAAAAATTACATGGTTGAGCATAAAAATGTTAATTGAAGGAACTGAATACTTCTGTTTGTAATTTATACGGTTGAAAAGCATTGAACTTACGAACATTTCAAGTATAAAGCGCTCTTGCAAAATTATACAAAATATGGAGGACCTTGCTCTCATTTCGTATTTAATTTAAAAAAACAGCATTTAATTGAATTTCTATAACAATTATCATTTTAACAATGAGAGATCAATTTGCTAATGCTAATTCATATTTGTTTCGGTCTTTTGTTTTGTGTGTGTGTGTGTGTGTGTGTGTGTGAAAAAGGGGATTTTCCATAACGTTCTGTATGCTCAAAACAAAGTTTAGGAAACTTACTGCATCAAAACAAAAGGGATAGAATAGACACAAACATCTAAAGACAAAGTCAAAGTTGCTTAAAGCAGTTGCATACTAAATTTAAGTAGAATTACATATCTTTATAGCTGACAGTTCAAGTCATCATGAAGTGACTAATTAACATTCACATTCAACTGCAAACAACAAAAACATACGTAGAGTAATTTTTATTTAATACAAAAAGTAAATCGTCCAAGATTCTGACCAGTGCACATTTTGTACATGTATATCTGTACCTTATAATATATAAAAATGGTTCCGAGATTCAATTTTCTTGATGCATTGAGGGTGCTGTAAGAATTAAAGCCACTGCAATAGTACACAACAAGTAAATGACTAAGAAGAGTCTATCAAACGCCATCGAGAAGACATTCCACCATTTCTCAACTTCATGTTGGTCATAACTACCATTAACAAATTCATTTATTCTTTTTATGTTGCTCAATATGCTCTCAAGATAACTCAGAACTTGTTTATCTTTATACAAACTATAATCTTCTGTCTTTTGTACGTCTGAGCTGACGGAGTTATGGCGTTCCTGGTACAGTTGGTCCTTGTCATAATCTTTGGCATCCTAGAATAATATAACATTGTTTCACTGTTTAAAGACGGCCTATTAAAGTACATATGTATTCATTCGTACATTAATAATCTCATTATTATAAATATTTAATACTTATATTTTTCATAGTTCAACATAAATCTATTTCGGTGTTGTAGATATTATTCTATAGATAATTACAAATATTTAATGACATAAATTGGTTATTTTTATGTGTTTACTGTTTTCAAAGTTTTGAACTCGGGCGTACGTAACAAAAATCGACTACAATACTTTGTGCATCCAAAATTAAATGTAGACACTCTTCACTACTGTTCTATTTATAAACTGAAAGACTGCTTACTCCCAATGACATAGTGGGTATTCTATAACAATAGTAACAGCAGAAACTAGTTTCCTTTAGAAGATGAAGAAAATTCATTCTTTGTTACAAGATTCACAATAAGAACAATAACAAGTACATCAAAATCACACTAATCAACATTTTATAGTTTGGAGGATTGATATATCAATTGACAATACTTCAATAAGACCATGCTATTATTTTTTAACCGACAAGATAAAATAAACATGAGTGTGATGATACCAATAAGAAAACCAAATGGAAATCGAAAAACAAAAGTTACGTAGCTCACAGAAAAGACGAGTAACAGTCCATAAAACACTATACAGAAAAGACAACAAAAGACAAGCAACAGTATACAATACACTATCCAGAAAAGATGGGAAATGCAAGCATTAGTCTACAAAAAACTATACACAAAGATAGGAAAAGTCCACTAAAACACTATCCAGAAAGTAAAGAAAAGAAAAGCAACAGTCTTCAAGAAAAGAAAAGCAACAGTCCACAAAACACTATCCAGAAAGTATAGGAAAAAACAAGCAATAATCAACAAAACACTACACATAAAGTTAGGAAAATAAACGCAACAGTTTACAAAACACTATAAAGAAAACTAAAGATTTAGTAACAAGATCAGCACCGAAACAATCGAGGGTGGTCTAGAAACACTATACAGAAAGTTAGCAAGATACAAACAACAGTCTACAAACACTACATAAAAAGTTAGAAAGTTAGGAAGATACAAGCAACAGTCTGCGAAACAATACACATAATGATAGGAAAAGACTAGCATCAGTCCACTTCAACTTTATCCAGAAAATATAGGAAAGAACAAGCAATAGTCTACAAAACACAACACAAACAGTAAGGAAAAGACAAGCAACAATCTACAAAACACTACACAGAAAATTAAAGATTTAGTAACAAGATCAGCACCGAAACAATCGAGGGTGGTCTAGAAGGCTGCGCAGTTTTTGCCCCACTAGCGGTATCCATTGTCTTACTTTTGTTACTTGTTGTGTTACTTGTATTACAATTCTAGACATTTTTTTTTATAGAAAAAGAGTAGATTAACCTGTTACCGATAGAAAAGAACAGGCATTGACAAATACAATATCACAACATGAAACACATTAAATAAAGCTAAATTAGCACAAATCAAACAATCTAGTGCTTTGAAAAGCAAAGCAGTTCGTGCTTCACGTGTGTAATTTGTTTTAATTTTCTTTGCATATACATGTATGCTGATAACCTTGTACATAAGAAGAGCAAAAGTTATACAATCCATTGAACCTACAACCAACCGCTTAAGTATAATGGCTTTCAAAAATTTGGCTTTGAGCGTTCCTGGTGAAGGTAAATCAAGAAAAAGCGCCTCGGACGCATGAAATATATAAAGTATTGATTTCATTTTTTCACATACAAAATGTAATGAATACCATGAAATTCACCAGGTTTGGCATTCGTCACACAAAACTTTCGTCTCCTGTGATCAACGTCTAAAACTTTGTTGACAGCTTATGCCATTTAGTAGGTAATTTAAACACTGTAGCCGTAATGGACTAATTATCATAGAGAAAGTGACTTATGTAGATATCGAGTTAAACTGACCAATTGGTTCATTTACTGATAAAGACATGATACTTATTTTTAACTAGTACGAGATGGAATCCACGTAGCTATCATACAAACATGTACATGGTTCCCTGTAAGAAACACGTCTCGTACTAGCAAGTTAATTATAAAAGTTATTACCGTTATATTTAATATTTATATTTTTTCTACATTTGTTGATGGTAATTTATTTTCCAAACACTAATAATTTTCAATTAGTATAAAAATATATATACACTTAAAATAACGGTAATGCCATATATTGAAGACTGAGGTTATAAGCTTTGAAATACTGAATGACAGCGTCTAGAATATAACCATCTGTGTGTAATACCTCTATGTGGGTTTTACAAATATTTATTTTATACTGTTGTATAGAATTCTATTGTTGAAGCCTTTGGGTTGCCCTCTTAAGGTCTTTTGGCAGTTTGTTTCTGTTTCATTGACATATGCCCAGCATTCCATGAAATATCATGGTGAGTTAAAAACATTCAGATGTTCGTAAGAAATGCTTAAACTGTATTGAACTTGTTCTAGCTTATTTCTTCATGTTTAGTCACGTGTATTGTATGTGCAGGTTTGTCATGTACAACACACAATACGAATATAGGGAATCATCAACAAATATGGAACTTATTTTGTTTGCTACTTGTTTATTCACTAAAGATGGCTTGTAGTTACCACCTGAAAACAATACTACATAGTCAAGTATCAACTTACGATTGCATTCGTTGGATGCAAGGAATACTTCCTGAGGTCAATGAAAGTCAGCCTCGTCAGTGGTATAAGGAAATATTTTCTAATGCGCTCACTTAGATGCACGCCATATTTGCCTTTAAAATGTATTCTCAGTACAACTACCGTTAATAAACAGGAAATGGCAACAATCAGCATTGAAAATGTAAAATACAAACCTAAAATACAAAATTAAGTAGAACTGTAATGTACCACTATTCCTGTTTAATATTGTTCATTTGTACAGTTCAAACAAGTTATTCCTACACATTAATACGTGATCCGAACGTAATCTATTGATGCCTTGATATAAATCGCGACCAGCATGAATATCGACAAACAAAGTAATCAGGATAAAAAAAACTATGGTTCTGCTGAATGAGTGAAAATGAACTTTTGGTATTGACAATTTGTGTAAGATGCATTTGCTTTTTAATTAAGGAAAAGGTTTAAGAGTGCATATTAAATATTGACAGAGAAGCCTTTATTTCCCAAGTGAAAGTAACCGCATAGTCGTCAAGTCTCCCATCCTAATGCGGATCTCAAATACAAACATTGTTAAACGGAACAATCCAACACTGTTTTAATAAGTAAACGTACTACACCGTTTTCATTCATCATTTTTATGTGGGTCTAGATGAATTATCTGACTTACGTTTCACACAAATTGGTCAACCAAAAACCACGTCGAGGAAGGATTAATAATATTTAGGCTAAAAAACAAACAAGGTTTTACATCAATACTCAGAAGATTGAGCAACACGAAGCCACTGAAAGCTTTAGTGAAATCAATTGATAAGGGAGAGCTACATGTATCAATAAATGATATACTATTGACATCCTACTCATGTGAAAAAAAAAGGTTTTGATATCTTATAATAGCAGAAAGCATTAGAAATAGGAGCTTCATGTTGATATTTATGTTCCGTTCATGTTACATAAAAATTCGCACGTTTTTAATCATCAAAATGCTGGACTTTTTGATTGCCAACATACTTGTTTAGTTTGGTGGATTGATATTTTAGTAGACATTTAGAATTCCAATCTTCTTGGAGATACATCACATGCTTATTTGAAGTTGTCACATATCACCGAGGATCAAATATGATATTATACGGCATTTTCGATGTTTCCGAATTATTATATCGAACATTGTAGGTCAACTACAAAAAGCGTTATTTATACAAGAATTGTATCCTAGCGGTCATTGAAAGACTGTAAGTTTAGTCTTAGCTTCTACATTATAGAGACCTGGCATATTATAAACCATACTTTACAAGAATAATAAATTAGGAAACTATTTTAAAAATTTGAAATTCTGATAGTCAAAACCAAGTTGTTAGTGTTTCCTTAGAGGGTGTCATACTGCAAATGGACTTCATTAATAAGTCGATGTGAAGAAAAAAAAACCTTTTTGTTCTTAATTTAATGTTAGCATTTTAAATAATTTAATCCAAACTTCAAAGAAATGTTTTGCTGAGTCAATAATATTTGATGCTACTAAGATCTAGTAATTTAAAAATATGATACGCAATTAGCAATTACAAATCATCTGGTCAAAATTTTCAAACCTCGACTATTGATTATGAAGCATTACTGAGACTGATTGCAACACATGCCTCAAAAGCTGAAAAGATATGTTATATATTTAGTTTAGAAAACTTGGACTTATTAAATCGTAATACATAAAAAATAAATGTTATTGCTGTTTTACTCACTTATGAAGGGAAATGAATCGCCAGATGCCGGGATCATATCTAGTATTACTAACTGGAAGACAGCAAGAGACAATAGCACAGTCACTTGTAAACTGATTTTCTCTCCGGAATCTGGTGGCAGCAGAAAACCTAATACTGCTACAAAGGTAATCAACAAGCAAGGAAAAACCACATTGACTATATAAAATAAGGGTTTCCGCTTTAGTTTTAAATGGAACTTCACAGTCGGAAACGGAACTCCGTCGTAAAGTGGCTCGACGCGAGTAATGAACGCATCTCGAAGACGCCATTCGCTATTTTCTATATACGATTGTAGTTCTATTTTGTCAGAGGAATGAGTAACGTTGATGTCCCAGCCATTATAAGCCCATGAACCAAGCGTTAACGAACAAACTTGAAAATCAAATGGAAAGTATCGGATATCTAAAGCACAAACACTGGTGATGAGAGATGGGAAATTGTACTTAATTTCTCCTTCCTGATTCAAGTTAGCTCTGTAATCTTTAAGGCCGGATAAAACAGGTTCAGCACTGAAATATAGCAATACAAAAACAATAGAAAGTTATGTCAATCGTTGACCTAAGACGTGTTTGCTGTTCTGTTGAGACCTTTTTGGGTTTTGTGCTTGAGTTGTTTTTAATTTTTCTTTTTTGCTTTTCAATTATTTTGTCCCTAGCATACATTGTACTTGATCAAGGTTTTACCAGAAATGCGTTTTGAGCGCACAGAAGTAATAACATACGTATTTCATCTAAATTCTTTGTATGCAGCCAAACAAATCATCAGAAATAGTTAAATTGATATACATAGTTCAATTGAACAGAGGTATGAGCTTTTACAAGCTACTTACCTTACCTCAAAATAAAACTGACTGTTTGTCGGATAGGTAAGTGATTACAATATTAGACGAGACATAAAGAGGTGATCCCTTCACCAAAATGTTCATGTGTGATCATTGATAAATTGATTTCTTTTGGTGAGTTGGAAACCAAATTTTGATTTTCTTTGATAAGGAAATTGATCTTTTAATCAAGTGTTTTGAAACACTGACCGCGTAATAACATTTTGTTTTACACTCACTCGTTGTTCAAATTAATCTATTCCTTACTGCCATGTCACGAACGTATCTTGTGTTAGTAGACGAGGATGCTCTGTCTTGCCAAGTTAAACTTTCGAAGAAAGACTTTATCAGTCAAAATAGCGTCAAAGTTTAATCTCTTTATTTTCTAAGAAATATTATTTGATATTAAATATATACTGTCGTTGTCAGTGTACTGTTGTTTGTTAACTTTGTCTTTTTTTCTTTTTAGCCATGTGGCGTTGTCAGTTTATTTTCGACTTGTGAGTTTGGTTGTCCTTTTGGTATCCTTCGCCTCTCTTTTGTAGAAGATTCATAGTGTCAGTTCTATTTACATAGATATTTTGTTGGACGATTGTTGTCTACTTAGTTTTTTCTTGTAATGTGTCCAATTGTGTGTAGTACTGCTAATCGAAACTGTCATTTTCTTGTAATCTTTGATATTCCCTCGATTTTATTACCGTCAGAAAATGTCGTCATCAATTTTACCGAGAAAGAGTACTGTAATACCGACCTCCACAAGAAATGGATGGCAGATGAATGATAAGAGTCAAATGGCAAACCCTTTCAAAATCATGTGACTTATAATTTTATTAATAAATTAATATGGTGATATACTAGTAGACTTGTAACTTTAATGCAAACATTGTCATTTGTGTGATGTTACCAAGACGTCACAAACATTAAATAACATTTTATAATCTGAAAGACTAATGTCTTGTGGGTATATCAAGGTCAGTTACTTAAAAGGGTTAACAATGTGGATTGATCAAACATTCTTTTTATCTTTATAATGCATGTACCTGAAGTCATTGATCATTACTATTGAAACGTGGATAGGACCAATAAATTTAGATAAAATTGCGACTTTTTTTTAAATATCTGATTTTTCTTCCGTTTTTCGATGTTCAGCACTTTTAACCGGCTGTTTCATGCACAATTATCTGTCGTTTTCGCCAATTTTTCATCAATAATGATGTAGTAATTTTTGTTTAGAATAGAAGATAATGATGATTAACAATGTAATAAAACATCATAAAATAATTTTGATTTATAAACGGTGTGTCCTTCGTTGAATTTAAAATTGTGTCACAATAAAATCTGTGTACTTCAATCTAATTATAATATAAACAATCAAAAATATAATTAAGTCGATAAACTGAGAGCATGGAAGTCAATATAATACTTCCATGCTGAGAGGAAATCTTATTTTAATAACAGATAATGACTTAGTTTCAAATGAAACTTAAACAGTTCAAAGTTTCTAAAAATGGTTTGTCATGTTAAATTTAGAATTTAAGAATAGATAAAGAGGTTCACTGACGTTTGTCCACTTTACAATTTACAATGTACAAGCGTGACAAGTTTGGTCTATCAGTACTTCGAAGTGTTCTTCGGCCTGGATTGAGGTGAGTACCTCTCCTGAATTAAGAACAACAACGCGATGCTGGTTTGTTTTCCTTGCCAGATTTTTCTTCGAAAGAACACTATAGAATACCACTTCCACTAACCAATGTAAACATGAGCTCCATTTCTGAAAAAAAAGCTCCGCAACTGCCATTTAAATAAACAAACCTTCATTAAATGTAGTATATGTATAAGAGAATCAGATTTAAAAAGTTCAAAAAAAATTCTTAGTGATTCGTAAATTATTCAACAATTTCTCATTTCCAAATACAGACCGAGAAATAAAGGGGTCAGAAATAAAAACTACAAATCAGTACATAATGATTTGAGTCATGTGTGTCAGGCTTATCGCTTTGTTTGTCTTTTCAAGGATGTAGTTCTATTCGTCTACTTCTCAGTGGATGTGAAAATACTGGTCATGTTTCTCATTAAACTTCTTGGTTCGTCATTATGTAAAATTGAGAATGGAAACGGAGTCAACAACTAGACCAAAGAGCAGAAAACAGTCCAAGGCCACCAATGGGTCTTCAACACAGCGAGAAAATTCCGCACTCGGAGGCGGTCTTCAGCTGGCCCCTAAACAACAATATATACTAGTTCAGCGAAAATGGACGTCATACTAAACTCCGAAACATATAAATACATTTTGGTTATTATATTTAAATATTTCTTATAGATTTATAAATTGGGATTTGAATTGAAATGAAATATGTGACACCTTCACATTTTACATGTTCAGCATTACCATTAAATTATCCGCTGACTACTTCGCATTTGAATTTTAATATGGTCAACAACGTCTTTCATCTACGACGAGTATAAAAAAGTATATCGTCCGATCTTTTTGAATATAGCAATAATAATTGTTTCCATAAGCGCGATAACTGGTGTACAGCGATAAGTATATTAATAACATATAGCTGAGAGGGTGATAGAGCAGACTGTTTACCCGAGAAAACATTGTCAACCGAGGCGAACTGAATGTTCTGTCATTATTGACCTAACTTTTGAATTGAAAGTAATTAACTATGACGTCATGTACATAATAACTTTACAATTGTTAAAAAAACAACAAAAGTACAGCAAGATGTATCTTTTATTTTGCCAGTCTATGAAAAATTTCTGAGGCCAAAACGTAGAACATGAACATTGTCTTTAAAATTATTGATGTATATTCAAATCCTTGTCCTTTGAATTGTCGAACGGATTTTGATTGGTCTGCACGAGAGGGTGACATTCAAAAAATTATCTCCCGCATAGCCATGGGATAATTATCGCCCTCGTATTAGCCAATCAAAATTTGGCAGTTTAACGTGAAGTAAAATAATATAAATTATTACATTGCATTTTTCACATTAGACTCTTTATCGGCACTAGGTCATGATATAAGCCCATGAGTCGAAAGACTCGAGGCGTGATACCATGAACGAGGGCCGATAAATGTTCTGATATGAAAACTGCCTTGTAATGATCTTTGATATACTTCAGCAGAAAAAATACAGACAAGAACTATTAAAAAAGTTGTCTTTCTTGAAACTTTACTCCGCAACCATTTTTTAAAATTCTTAAATTACTTGCAGTTTTCTGCCTGTATTTCTCTTTTACATAGACTCAACAGGTGGCACGGTAGTATTTACATTCCGGAATTTAGGTTGCTCTTTTGACGTGTACCCTACTAAAGTCAATGTATCTGAACACTGTGATTGGACAAAATAACTCAGTATCTACTGAAAATACTTTCCCAAGTTGAGGGATGAATCAGGTGAAGAAAAATATAAAATAATTCTACATACAGGTGAAAATTTTGTATTCACTGCATGATAAAAGACCAAAAAGCACTAGTGGCCTTAGGTTTATAAAGATAGAAGAAAAAGTATACGGTCATCATACATATTTAAAATTTATTTCTGAATATTAAAATGAAAGTACTTCAGTTAACTGTGTATTTAGGTCCTTGGGTAGTATTAGAAAGTGGTGAAAATTTTAAATAGGCTATGGGCCAGGAAATGATACCGTGCACCTAAACTGGTATATGTATGATGAACACTAAATTAATTAAGGTATTTTTGTACCTATTCAATTTGTAAACTTATTAATAAAAAATTGATTTAGGGCAACTAGAATAAGAACACCCTTTATATTCCACCCCTGTGAGTGAAAATTGCTAGCAAATTTTGCCTGATCTGTGGGTAATTATGTAATAATTTACCTGGAAAAGTAGAACTGTATAATTTTAATGTAAATTGCAATAGAAATTTCATTTTAAATGCTCGCTGTATCTTTTTGCAGTGTCTGACACATGTGTAACCACTGGAATTTGAGACACGACATATTTTAGTTGTCTGTTCATCCTATAGTTTTCACCCAAATAAATAAAGTTAGAGTAAAATTTCATTTGTTTTTCACACAAGTACTGCTATACTAGATTTCTTCAGGTTTAATTTGTAATTCTGTGGTAACCTGACACCAGTATGAGCCTTCTTTGGACCAGTTAGTGGTGAAGGAGTCCTTGCTTATTCAATAAGCCCCAATATTTAGCTGAAATAAAGTTAGTATTAGGGGTTTCTTTACATAGGTAAGACAATTTTATTTGGCAAAGAATGTGGTTACCATTGTTTGTCAGATTGATTAGATATTTTCTATGCAAATGTTATGAATTGTTTTAATTTTATGAACCTGAAAAGCACAAAAAAGGTAAATAGATTATGTAAGGGGGCACAATTTAAGTTAATGCAAACATAGAAAGGGACACACACCCAACTTAGAGATGTATTATAGTACATGCATTGTCAAAAGATTTTAAAATAATTGTTTATTGCCGTCTGAAGAATCTTGTTACCGGTATGTGGCCTACATAACCTGGAAATGTTTAAAGGAATGTAAGGTATGCTGTAAAATGTGGAATGGACTTTACTGTCTTTTTTTCATGATTTGAAACTTATACTGTTTCTTTCAGTCAGATTGACTAGAAATAGAGTTGGCAATCCAAAAGTTCCTTCTGAATCACCACGCTTTAACTCTATGCTGATTTGAAAAATCATACATTGGTTTTTGTTCACTCTTTAAGTAAAAGTGATAAGATGAAAAAATAGTGAACATCTACCTGCCGAGGTAGGGGTATAAATGTTTGGTTGTTTGTTTGTTTGTAAGAAATAAGTGCAGACTAAGATTCTTTACTGTGATATGTTTCCAAGTAAGAAGACTAGTGTATGCATCATAGGTGTCATGACTGGTTTCAAGTTTGTGATATCTTTGTCAAGCGGGCACGGTAGTATTTACATATCGGAGTTTAGTTTGCTCTTTTGTGTACCCTTCTTAAGTCAAAGAAAATGATTTTTTTTTAAATTTTAAAAATTTTGTATTCACTGCATGTTAAAAGATATAAAAGCACTAGTGGTCTTAGGTTTATAAAGATAGCAGACGGTAAAAGTAAGCGGTCAACATTCATATTCCAATTTATTTCTGAAGGGGACAATAACGGAAAGACATTTGATAACATTCCGGAAGCGTTAATAAAAGTTCGATTATCAGCCCGCTGAGGAAGTTCTTGGGAATCTGGTTGATAACGTAATATTCCTTTCGTAGCCTTTCATTACTTCAAATGTTATTGTAGTTTAAAATTTAAGTAATATTTCATAAAAGTAAAGGATAAGATTTGGTAAAGCGTATTCATGTCATCCTGGTTTGCTAACTTTTAATTGCAAATTTATAAAAACATAAGGTGTTTTGCTGTTTTAACGGTTATAGTTTATTTATTCTACCTTTAAATTTTTATAAGGAATGCCAAATTCCACTATGAAATTAAGGGAAATATGCAAAAAAATGTTTAAAGAAATTCTATCTATTTCATCACCTTTGTTCATATATATTTTGGCGGAGGTCGACACGGGAGCAGTCTTATAACGAGGAAATTTTAATGTAAGGAAAACAGGACTAAGGAATATGGTGACAATATACGTTTTTGGTTATGGTTATAAAGCAAAGTAGCACTATGTCCTTGGTCCGGTCTGTCAACACTGGACATATACATGTATGTCCTTTGCTAGGCTTGCCAACACTTGTTTTATAGAATTATATACTTATTGTTGTCAAACGGTTACGGTAAGTCAGATACATTTTAAATCATTTTAAGGAAATATACTAATTATGTGTTTTGTTCAAATTTTGCCAAGGAAATCTGCAGCTGTTTTTTTTTTTACCAAAGTAGTATAGTAATTTTTTTACTATACCCAGGTCTCATTAGCGACCACGTGGTCAACTATGATACGGATTTATTAATTTATTAATTTTATATTTTTAACGATTACTTTTATAATTCTTAATGTAGGATTCATCTCCATGGACATAGCTGATTTATTTATATATCTTGTACCATTATTAATTCGTAATGAACAGACTTCCAAATTAACAAACTTTTGAAAAATCTAAATGTTTATCTGAGCAAAAAAAATATTTGACACTGTGGAAATGAATCAGGAATTTAAAATAAGTGTAAAATTTTCAACTTCAGTAACTCTATCTCTTTTAATGACAGGACGTGACTGATATAATTTTAATTAATGTCCTTTTTTAATACATTCACGCCGAGTTTTTGTTCGAATCTATACTCGGAGGAGATAATGTAATTTGGTAAATATTATATGACATTTTCCCCACAACAAATAACAACAAATATTTCCCTTGATATATATTGTAATGTTAAAATCTGTTCCAGTTATCAGTAATATTACTTAACGTAATGATAACTTTGATAAGAATTTTTTATTCGCCGACTACAATAAACAAAAAATGATAAACTCCTACTGAAATAAGGAGATAGTCAACTATTAATTTATTTTCATTTCAAATAAAAGAAACTTAATTTACAAAATAACAGTTGTGTCCCTGGCGTAATTATTTCAGAAAAAGATTGCAATTTTCATCACATAGGCAAGTTCCATCGTACTCAAGTCTTTGCACGGATAGATACTCCGATTTAACAAATCTACAAAGTTAATAGGCTAAACTTAACCGTACAAGTCTTTTCATTATCCATCCATCCAATCCATACTTACACAAATGTACATAAATAGATAGAATACATACACACACGAACCGTAATTGTAACTAGTTAATACTTAATAGTATAAAGTCGCCGAAAGTATGCATACATCAATTTTTCTATTCCTGCCCTTACCAAATGTATGTAATTTATCATCCCGGAAAAGATTAATATACAATTATAAAAAAGTAATTTTACTGATGAACGTTATGTATCATTGATGATTAATTGATTAAATTTGTTTGTGTTTACGCTTCAGCAGTACTAAAAAACCCTGCATTGCTTGTACCCCGGTATGCATGATTAACGGGTATCATAAATAAGAGGGAAATGTATACTTACTTATCGTACAAGGTAATGTCTGGCACCCATACAGTATTATATGGTACTACGAATCCAGTTATATTCCCGAAGTTCGGAGCATACCAATTTAGTCTACAATCTGACCATTTCTATATATATAAAAAAAAAAACAATTGATGTGTTTAATTCTCTTTTCTGTTTATAACTTTTGTCTGATACACAATAAGTACATTATTACACAATGTGGTCAACTATGTATCTTCAAAATTAAGTTGGTACGTTTACATGTATTTTAATACATTTGATTTCGTTTAATTAAATAGAGGAGGTGATTGTGGTGTTTATATGTACACTCTGTTTTTACTTATTCGTCGTGGTTTTTGTTCGCCTCTTGATAAATTACAATATTTCGTACATACCATTCTTATCCAAACGTTCAGTTTGATAATTTGTTGAGGCTCATCCTAAAAAATATCAATGTGTATTAAATACGATACATTATATTTTTTTGAATATTTAATGATCAATTTTAACTGTTGACTTGGCTACCAATACTATAGCCCTGTTATTCTTTTGCAAATATTGAAACAATATATTTTCATTGACTCAGTCTTAATAACTTGCTTTTATTATTTTTTACATCCCAGTGGCACAATTATAGAATATTTGACTAATATTGTAAAAAAAATAATCACACCCTCATCTTGTGGTCTCAGTGGGAAATGAATAAAAACGAAAGAAAATTCACTCTTCTTAAGGTAGCACGGTAGTATTTGCATTCCAGAATTTAGGTTGCTCTTTTGTGTACCCTACTTAGGTCAATGTATCTGAACAGTGTGATTGGACTAAAAATACAGTATCAACTGAACATACTTTCCCAAACTGAGGGATGAATCAGGTGTAGAAAAATATGAAATAATTTTACATACAGGTGAAAATGAATTTTTGAGAATTTTTTTAAATTTTGTATTCACTGCATGATAAAAGACCTAAAAGCACTAGTGGCCTTAGGTTTTTAAAAATAGCAAAAAAAGTAAACGGTCATGATACATATTCAAATTTATTTCTGATTAGTATGATGAAAGTACTTCAGTTAACTGTGTATGTAGAATTTTTCGCAGTGCTAGAAAGAGGTGAAAATCCTAAAAAGGCTATCATTATCCCTTATGGGCCAGGAAATACTACCGTGCCACCTTAACTAGGATATATATGTTTACACAAAATCAATAAAGGTATTTTTTTTACCTATGCAATTTGTAAGTTTATCAATAAAAAGGTGATTAAGAGCAACTAGAATAAAAACAGCCCTTAAATTTCACCCCTGGGAGTGAAAATTGCTGATTCAGCAAATTTTGCCTGATCTGTGGGTAATAATGTTAAAATTTACCTAGAAAGTAAAATTTCTTTATTTTTAAGTAACTTGCAATACATTTTTAATTATAAAGTTTCGTTTTAACTTTTCGCAGTGTCTGACACTTGTGCAACAACTGGAATTTGAGACGCGACATATTTTAGTTGCCTGTACGTCCTATAATTTTCACCGTAATAAATAAAGTGCATAATTTTTAATTTTTTTCCACACAAGTACAGCTATACTAGTTTTCTTCAGGTTTAATTTGTAGTTCTGTGGTAACATGACACCAGTTAAGAGCTTTTTTGGAACTAGTAAGTGGTTAAGGGGTCCTTACTTATTCATTTAGCCCTCATATTTAGCTGAAATAGAGATAGCATTAGGGGTTTCTTTATATTGGCAAGACAATTTTTTGGACAAAGAATGTGATTATGATTGTATATCAGCAAGATTAAATAGTTTATTCATTTTCCATGCAAATGTCATTAATTTATTTGATTTTCTGACCCTGAAAAGCACAATAAAGCTAAATTGATTATGTAAGGGGACATAATTTAACTGAATGCATACATGAGAAATAGACAATGAGTCAACTTAAAGATATATTCTAGTACATGTATTGTCAAAAAGATCTTTGAATAATAGTAAACTGCCATCTAAAGAGTCTTGTTATATTGCCTTCATAATCTGGAAATGCTTAAAGGAATGTAAGGCATGCTGTAAAATGTGGAATGGACTTTACTATCATTTTTCATGATTTGGTGCTTAAACTGTTTCTTTCAGTCAGATTAACTATAAATAGAGTTGGCAATCCAATAATTCCTCCTGAATCACTATGGTTTACTTCTGTGTTGATTTGAAACAACATATATTTGGGTTTTGTTCACTCCTTAAGTAAAAATGTTCAGATGAAAAAAAAGTGAAAATCTGCCAGCTGGGGTAGGGGTATACTTTTTAATTTTTTTTTGGTAAGAAATAAGTGAAGACTAGTATTCTTTATTGTAATATGTTTCCTAGTAAGAAGTCTATGCATCATAGGTGTCATGACTGATTTCAAGTTTGTAATGTCTTGGTTAAGGTAGCACGGTAGTATTTGCATTCCAGAATTTAGGTTGCTCTTTTGTGTACCCTACTTAGGTCAATGTATCTGAACAGTGTGATTGGACTAAAAATACAGTATCAACTGAACATACTTTCCCAAACTGAGGGATGAATCAGGTGTAGAAAAATATGAAATAATTTTACATACAGGTGAAAATGAATTTTTGAGAATTTTTTTAAATTTTGTATTCACTGCATGATAAAAGACCTAAAAGCACTAGTGGCCTTAGGTTTTTAAAAATAGCAAAAAAAGTAAACGGTCATGATACATATTCAAATTTATTTCTGATTAGTATGATGAAAGTACTTCAGTTAACTGTGTATGTAGAATTTTTCGCAGTGCTAGAAAGAGGTGAAAATCCTAAAAAGGCTATCATTATCCCTTATGGGCCAGGAAATACTACCGTGCCACCTTAACTAGGATATATATGTTTACACAAAATCAATAAAGGTATTTTTTTTACCTATGCAATTTGTAAGTTTATCAATAAAAAGGTGATTAAGAGCAACTAGAATAAAAACAGCCCTTAAATTTCACCCCTGGGAGTGAAAATTGCTGATTCAGCAAATTTTGCCTGATCTGTGGGTAATAATGTTAAAATTTACCTAGAAAGTAAAATTTCTTTATTTTTAAGTAACTTGCAATACATTTTTAATTATAAAGTTTCGTTTTAACTTTTCGCAGTGTCTGACACTTGTGCAACAACTGGAATTTGAGACGCGACATATTTTAGTTGCCTGTACGTCCTATAATTTTCACCGTAATAAATAAAGTGCATAATTTTTAATTTTTTTCCACACAAGTACAGCTATACTAGTTTTCTTCAGGTTTAATTTGTAGTTCTGTGGTAACATGACACCAGTTAAGAGCTTTTTTGGAACTAGTAAGTGGTTAAGGGGTCCTTACTTATTCATTTAGCCCTCATATTTAGCTGAAATAGAGATAGCATTAGGGGTTTCTTTATATTGGCAAGACAATTTTTTGGACAAAGAATGTGATTATGATTGTATATCAGCAAGATTAAATAGTTTATTCATTTTCCATGCAAATGTCATTAATTTATTTGATTTTCTGACCCTGAAAAGCACAATAAAGCTAAATTGATTATGTAAGGGGACATAATTTAACTGAATGCATACATGAGAAATAGACAATGAGTCAACTTAAAGATATATTCTAGTACATGTATTGTCAAAAAGATCTTTGAATAATAGTAAACTGCCATCTAAAGAGTCTTGTTATATTGCCTTCATAATCTGGAAATGCTTAAAGGAATGTAAGGCATGCTGTAAAATGTGGAATGGACTTTACTATCATTTTTCATGATTTGGTGCTTAAACTGTTTCTTTCAGTCAGATTAACTATAAATAGAGTTGGCAATCCAATAATTCCTCCTGAATCACTATGGTTTACTTCTGTGTTGATTTGAAACAACATATATTTGGGTTTTGTTCACTCCTTAAGTAAAAATGTTTAGATGAAAAAAAAGTGAAAATCTGCCAGCTGGGGTAGGGGTATACTTTTTAATTTTTTTTTGGTAAGAAATAAGTGAAGACTAGTAGTCTTTATTGTAATATGTTTCCTAGTAAGAAGTCTATGCATCATAGGTGTCATGACTGATTTCAAGTTTGTAATGTCTTGGTTAAGGTAGCACGGTAGTATTTGCATTCCAGAATTTAGGTTGCTCTTTTGTGTACCCTACTTAGGTCAATGTATCTGAACAGTGTGATTGGACTAAAAATACAGTATCAACTGAACATACTTTCCCAAACTGAGGGATGAATCAGGTGTAGAAAAATATGAAATAATTTTACATACAGGTGAAAATGAATTTTTGAGAATTTTTTTAAATTTTGTATTCACTGCATGATAAAAGACCTAAAAGCACTAGTGGCCTTAGGTTTTTAAAAATAGCAAAAAAAGTAAACGGTCATGATACATATTCAAATTTATTTCTGATTAGTATGATGAAAGTACTTCAGTTAACTGTGTATGTAGAATTTTTCGCAGTGCTAGAAAGAGGTGAAAATCCTAAAAAGGCTATCATTATCCCTTATGGGCCAGGAAATACTACCGTGCCACCTTATGATAGAATCGAGGAAGTCAATAATAAAACAAAGCCGGTGACGACACTGATCAAAAGTTATTTCTGAACAAGAATGTGTCCATAGTACACGGATGCCCCACTCGCACTATCATTTTCTATGTTCATTATTACCCAGTCACGTCGGTATTTGGGGCGTTAAATCCGAAGCCTAATGTAGCCGTGACAATCCTTTCACGTTGAAATCCCTTTACAATAAATATTTAAGGGGTCCGTAGCCTACTAGGTGGTCTGCTGCAAAGATAAATTTTCTGCCCATCTAAGGATACAGCAGGCGGCCCTACACAGGTGTTATTTCCTTTAAAAAATGATCTTGAATATAGTCAGCCGGTAATTGCAAATGGGCTGTTTTTTGCATTAGTTTTCCCTTACTCAATAGAAATGGATGGTTAGAAACGTTGATGACAAATATAATTTGATAATGAACTGTTTAGTCTCAGAAAACATGATTTAATTATGAGTTGTAATTGGCTTTATTTCGGCGCTTTGTGTCTACTGTTTTTATGTTATTTGATTTTGTGCCTCGATCTTCAAGTTTGAGTTAAGCCAAATGCTCTGGATTTTTACAGTTTGTTCTTGTGTTGTTACACGACGGTCCCAGGTTAGGGGATGGTTAAGCTCTCACAAAAATTGTTTGATTCAGCCACATTCTTTATGTGCCTGTCACAAGTCAGGAGCCTGTAGTTCAGTGGTTGTCGTTGGTTAATGTCTGTTTTATTTGTTTTTGTAAATTGGGTTGTTATAAATAAGGCCGTTAGATTTCTCGTTTGAATTGTTTCACACTTTTCATGTCGGGGTCTTATAGCTGAATATACGGTGGGTTGTGCGTTTTGTCTCATTATTGAAGGCCGTACGGTTGCCTATAATTGCTTACATTCACTTTGAACTCTAGTGGATAGTTGTCTCGTTGGCAATCATACCACATGTCCTGATTCTTATAATGGATGGTTTCATTGTGTTAAGTAATGGTGTGTTGCTGTCGCATTCGCGTTCACCTATTTTTTCGAACAGATTGACATTATAAATGTGATCACATACCTTCAAAAGTTTAGATGTGAAAAAAATACTAATTATTTATATCATTTTCCTTAACTATTTTAAATAATTAATGCATAAAAAAGCAATATTTGCTCGTATATTTGTCTGTTGATAATATTACAACATTTTCATGAATATTTCATTCGCTAGTCAAGGAATTAAGTAGGATACAAGTCATCAATCTGGAATTAACATTAATCAAATTTGTTTATGCCATGATTATTTGATTATTTTCCAAAATCCTATTAATATAATATTTAATTTGTACCTGGTGGTATTATTGTACCCACAATTTATTGATTCCCATTCATTTGAGATGTGCAGGTGGTAAAAGTCTGCTATGTTGATTTGTTTCCATATAATGCCTTTTGGGCTTTGGTTATGATTGTAGTAGTAACAAATTTAAGACTGACTTTCCACAGCCCCCGCTCCTCAATGTACATGTTTAACATGAAAGCCTAAACATCATTGCTATATCAGGTTAAGATGTGTTTTCTGCTGTGATCATTTCATATAATTGTACTCAGGTTCAAAAACTCTGTCGCCTTGAACTCTCGCCCTTATGTCTATGTTAAACATGTTCAAATTGGTGATGATAATAATGGATGGCTGCTTAATGTCCAGCAGGGAAATTAAATGCGTATTCAGGGCAAGAACATGTTAATGTAAAATGAATATTAACCCTGTTTTGTACCAGACCGACACGCCGAGCCTGATTTTTAAAGTGCTAGTTCACAAGGTAACAGTCCACAGGAAGACATGTCACCCTACCCAGACACATTTTTCTGACTCCGCGCCGACCAGTCTTTGCTCTTACTCCTTAATACCGCGTGCTTAACGGAGAAGCAGCAAATACCAATTTGAAAGTCTGCGGTTTGACCTTGCCGGGTTTCGAACCCTTGACCTCCAGCAAAAAATGGTCTATAGTTATACAAGTGTCCATTTTAGTACAATGTTTCCTTCTTTGACAGTTATCTTTATTCAATGCAATTTTTTTTACAGAATCGAGCGTATTAGTTATATTTAGCAGACAAGTACAATAGAATATATTCATAGCAGGGGTTTATGGTCGATCCCGTTTCTGTCTAAAGTCTATAATATAGACACTGACTTAATATGAACACCATACACATATCATGCTAAGAGTAACTTCTCATTTGTTTGATTATCAGAAAACTTAATACAGAGTTAAAATATTTCGTTTTGCCACCTGAATTAAAAAAATAGCACTACCTCAGAACGCAGTTCAAACACGCACCTGTTGACTAGGATTGTTTCATCCCAGGAAACAGCCATTCATTAAGGCGGGTTAAGTACAAACATGACGCAATGCAATAGATTTTCCATAACTGTCACTTCGATTCTGCATTCTGATGTTTGATTTGCTTTGTTTGGGTGCATTAACTTTGCACATTCGTAAGAGAAAATAGATTAATTGTCGTGAGGTTATTGTGAATGGCATAATTTCTGTTTGTTTTCTGTATTAATTATTTCATACCAAACCCCTGATTTGAATTAATATGACCGATGAATTATTCAGAATTATTTTACAATATTGTTAATTGTGTCACTTACAATGTCTATGATTTGTCTGAGGGACATGTATAGATCAACGGTTGTTGTATCATTAGCTTGGCATTGTGGTCTAACAGCCTCTTTGTAACCAGTAAACAATGAGTCTGCTAAGTTATCGATCATGTGACCTTTTGCACCTGTAAATTATACAATAGTCGCATTCATACTTAATGGATAATGTTAAGTAATGAGATCTCTTACGAGTAGACAGATTTTGAAAACTTTTACGTAAGAATACAATGAGAAAGATGTAAATTTAACGGGGAAAAACGTGTACAAATAGAAAACACTAACAAAAACAAATACTTCTAAGGGCTTACATGTATGAAATTCCAACAAAAAATGTGTTTCTTAAATTTCTTGAAAAAAAGGGGGGCTACATATAATGGTCTATAATGTGTACACTTTAAGGTAGAAATATGATGTAATAGAAAGTCGTAAGATTGTCGCAACTGGAACCGTATTTGGTTGCAAAGTCGAAACAACTAACAATGGATGGTAAAAGAAAATTAAAAAAAAACAACTTTTAAAATTATAACAATAGTTGTTCATGCACTTGTATGGCATGATTTTGTTTTCGGAAAAGAAGCTTATTTCATACAAGAAAATTACTCGTTAATGAGATTTACGTATGAGAATTATATTATTTAGACCAAGTACATAATATTATCTTCCTTTTTTGTCAATATATATAAGAATAATGCATTATTAATCATGATACAAATATACGACTGTTTATTGATAGTCCGATGTTTTCCCATGGCAACGAGTTTGGTGTCGTAACATTGTTTATAATGACATTTTATTATATAATCATTACATACGATAATTATTGTCTCTTCAGTGATGCTCGAGTACAAAATATTTGATAGTACAAAACCCAATACAAACGTTGAAGAGCCGATGAATAAAAAGGACAAAGAGTAAAGGCAAACTCGGATAACGGTGCAAGTTTTTAAGAAGCCACATTAGCCTATAATGATCTAAAATTCAATTTTCAACTGCATTTAGGAAAAAATTAACAGGTTTTGAAATCGTTGAATATGAAGACATAATCAAGGTTGTTTTATTGACATGTGTTGATAAGAGCGATCTTAGAGGTCGCCAAAAACGGACAACGATAATATTAATCAAAGTACTGAAGTAATGAACATCGGATGACCTCAAGTTCTGGTGGATGGTCACAAACACTTGTCTCAGAAAAAAAAATCATATTTCTATACCTGAAAGTTAGGTTAAGGTGGATGATGAATAAAATGACAGGGAATTCAATCTCACCGTAATAATTATTATATTGTAGTGATATAATCAATTGTTATCAGTTTACCCTGGTTTGTTGTTATATATTATATTAATATTTGTATAACAGTTATATACATAGCAGATCATCTTAATAACTCTACAGGCAAATTTTCATCCATTTATATGTCAATCTATTCTGCTATTCTTATGATAGTGCAGTACAAGTTCATGGTGGACACTCTTCTGTAATAATTCGTTTTTCTAATAGATTGGATTTGAGAAGGCATTTATATTTTCCTGCTTTTGTTGCAAAACGTTCTCGAGATATTCTTCCGCATGCTTTAACACAAATTTTCGGTATGATGATTTGTTATTGATATATATATATATATATATATTTCTCACGAGAAAACATTTTCATATCATTTATCTATTATGTTCTTAAAAATTATTTTCATGAATATTTATTGATGAAATTAATATATAACAAGCGATAAGGAATGTTATTTTGCAATCGATAATATCCGCGTAATTATACGAAATACGTTCGGTTATCAGTCAAAAGGCAAGGACATTTCTGCGGCAACATAACATCGGTATGACCTCTCAAGGTCACATTCGATGTAAAAACTGATGTTTTCCTCCTCTTCCTTACGATATTTGAAGTTTTACAAATGAAGAAGCACATTCATAAGTATAATATGCCCCCGTCACACTAGGCCAGACCATGAAGATCTCACTACGATCTATAAAAAAATAAGATCGCCGTGAGATCGTTGTATGGTCGCTTTGAATATTCAATATTTCATAGTTTTCACGTTCATACAACGGCCTTGCTATGATCCTGAAAAGATTCTTCTGCGATTCCGCTACGATAGTAACACGTTCTAGTTACGATCTTGTCACGCTCTTGCTACCTTACCACGACTTACACGATCTCAATACGAGTCTACTACGATCGAACCACGACACCACTTCGTTTCCACTACGTTGTCACTGCGCTCTTCGTTTGATCACGTGTGTCCATGGTTAAACTACAAGTAGAAGTTATTACTTCCGTTTTTTTTTTCTTCATATCAACAGAATGAGGTTGTGCAATTATCGTGGCTAGGACGGAAAAGATTCTTCTGCGATTCCGCTACGATAGTAACACGTTCTAGTTACGATCTTGTCACGCTCTTGCTACGTCTAATAAGACCTTACCATGACTTACACGATCTCAATACGAGTCTACTACGATCGAACCACGACACCACTTCGTTTCCACTACGTTGTCACTGCGCTCTTCGTTTGATCACGTGTGTCCATGGTTAAACTACAAGTAGAAGTTATTACTTCCGGTTTTTTTTTCTTCATATCAACAGAATGAGGTTGTGCAATTATCGTGGCTAGGACGTAGCAGTATCGTAGTATGGTCGTACTAAGGACGGCAATCGCGTAGAAACAGCGCGTACTATTGTCTTCCTCATCGCAGTATAATTACATATCAATATCGTTGTAGAAGCGTTATAAAGACGTAGTAAAATCGGGATAGTCGCAGTGAAATCTTAGTAATGTCGCAGCGAAATCTTTTCCGTTGGCTTCCCGATTGCACCACGTTTCCAATACGATGCTTCTACGCCCATCCCGATCTTACTACGTCCTTACTACGACCTTTCGACGATTCTACTACGACTAGTTTTGGTCACGACTGCCGCTGACTTCGAATGGTTTCAGCATGTTCAAAGTTGGTCGTGGACCTCCACGATCATAAAGACCTTGGCACGTCCTTACCACGACCACCACGATCTTACTACGACTTCCAAATTTTTTCATAATTTCTGAGGTCGTAGCGGGATCGTGGTCCTAGTGTGATGGGGTTATATCTTTAAGATCAAGCCGGTCTTGTGTATTTAAAGGCATTTTAATAAAAAGTAGTGCCGGGCAATAAACACGACTAAACTGACATAAATAATATCCAAGGGTGTGGAATACGCACAAATATAGTAAGAGGTCACTTGATTCATTTCTTCTGTAAAAAAAAAACCAACGGGATGACCACTGATCTGAACAAAGAAATTATTTGGAAATCGGGGTCAAAGCTAGCTAAGGAATCTACAGCTGTTGTCGCCCAAGTTAACAAAATTTTCAGAAAAAAAAAAGAACACGCTCCAGACAGGTTTTATGAAGTCTCATCATGATATTTAATTAAAATCGGCAGTTTTTGTCAGAATATATGAAAGGCGTTTTAAAATCGTATTTATTAATATTTCGCTCAAATTAATTAAAATTATTTTAGTCATTAAAAATAGAAGTCCCTTCAAATTTCATTTCAGCAAAACGGAAATGTTCCTAGCAATAACAGTATCATCTTTAAACAAATTCCTATGACGGTATTTCTGAAAATTGTAATTTAGTGAAAAAAAGTTTTAGCGTGTTTTTGTTACATGAACTCTATAGATTTAGAGATCTTTTTTAATAATTTTAAATGGTTGAGTCTCAGGACTTAAATCCATACATAATTCCATACAAATCCGAAATATCACTCAATTACGTATTATACTTCGTCTTAAACCACAACTTTATGAGGTAAAATAATCAGTGGAAAGTACAAATGTATATCATGGAAAAACACTCTTCACAATAGAACAACAATAGGGAGCATACAACTAAAACATGGGATAAACCTATACCTTGATCTTTAACCAAACATTTTATTAGAGTCCTAATCCAGATCCAGTTGTAAAAGATAGGGAGGAGTAAGATACTGATATATTTGAGACAAATCCAATAAAATATTAAAAGATAACAAGTATATCAAAGGATTGACGCTTGTACTGCTGTTCATCGTCGTAGGTTCTTGTTGCTCAGTATAGTTTTCTGTGTAGTGTTCTGTAGACTGTAATTACTATTTTCTTTCTTTTCGGGTTTATTTTTTCCTTTTTTTGCAATAGTGTAGTCTGTTTCTCTTTGACTTACGAATTTTTATTTTCGCTTTGCTATATTCAGCCTCTATTTTAGTAGTTGTAGGAATGTTTACAACAATAATCTAATACCTCATACTTTACAATAATGATTGTAAGAACTCTTACTTTATTGCAATGATCTTAGGACCTCATAAAGTTTAAAAGCTGTTTCATAAATGTGCACTGGCAACGTGCATGCATAATAAGAAAGTCATTAGAAATTCGAAGAGACTTCCTTTTGAACCCCCTCCATTGACGTATAACATGTACACAAACACAAAGATGATGTTCAAAATGAAGCCGTGCTGATCGCCATTTATTTTCCTTAATATGTATGATGCATTTTCCATTGCATTTTAAACACCGATTAATAAAACAAAGTTTCGTATTTTTCAATCACACAGAAGTAAAAGAAACATTTTTTCTAAATATTCACTATATATATTTTAAAGCAACCACAATGTATGTTAAACAGAGAATGAAAACAACAGTCGTATATTAATTTTTGCTTACTAATGGCTATCCCCAAGTTCGATGAATGTTCCAAGTTGATATCAGGAAAAGTAAACGCATTGATATAAAACCATAAATATAGTAGATGTAGGGTTTAACCTTCTTGTTGACACTTAAAGAATTATCTGAACGTTCATGAGAAGTATATCGAACTATTACTAACAATAAGAAGAAAAAAATATATGTTTTCCTTACCTTGCCATTGAAGGAGCAGGAATACCAACACCAACCACACCTTACACGTTACCATCATGATTAAACGACTTCGGAAAAAGAAATTAGTGAATCAATCATTTTATTTACATGTCAATCTATATAAAAGCGTCATGGCATCCTAAATAGCTAATGGTCTGAAAGTGAATAGATCTGATCTGTGATCAATTGAATACTATCTTTATTTAGATTTAAAGCTTGCTCATGTAAATACTGGCAATATATTAATAATCAATTATTTTACATTCATAATAATCATTCAAATCAAAAGGCTACTGTGCAAACGGATACCTTACTCATAGAAATACAATTTGAATCTATTGACTTTTAGATTTCCGTAAGAGTATTTACACAATCTGATTAGATACAGATAATGGGTTCAAGATTTGCTTTCAAAGCTAAGAATCTCAAAACGGTCCATTCTACTTTCTGTTATAAAGACCTTTCAGGATCCTCTGGTTTGTCATAATGATACACATCTTCAAAAAAATGAAGGCTGAGGTTTTATTGGCTGATGTAATTAATTCCAAAACAGAAAGTAAAACGGAGTGTTGTCAGATCCTTGAAAGCTTGAAGACAGGGTCTGTATTTTAATCAGATTGAGCGTTTACGTCGCACAAGAAATTGTCGCATTGTTGAAAAAGGAAAATATGTCTTTCCTTAGATCCTCAGAATTGCCGATCAGTAACTGTATATATAATTTGATTGGTAAAACTACAAATCTACATAATGAAACATTTTGCAAAGTTTTTATCAGTAATCTAAAGCAGGAAAATGAATTAAATATTTAGCCCATGGAATTGTAAAATTTTCCATTCTTTCAAAATTCTGCTTAGTTTATTGATAAATGAATAGAATTATAGTTATTGTAGTGCAGAAATGTTATTTGTTATGTCACTGAGACATTCTGATTGTTACAATTGATTACAATTGCCATTATTCAGGGTATTTGCATGTAATTTAATAAATAAGCTATGCTTTAAAAAATAGACATCAGTTCACAAATGCCATGTTAAATAACATGTATTGCTAAAAAAGACTTATTGTTCATGCTAAAAAAAAATGCATTGTGTTTCAATTGCTTTATAGCATGGGTTAAATGTATGTCAGACACGATGAGAACAGTAAATGTGAATAAACTTGATGATGGAACATTTTGCAAGTTTTTATAGAATCTAAAGCAGGAATAGGAAGAAAATATTAATCCCTTGGAATTGTACAATTTTCCGTTCTTTCGAAACTCTGGTTAGTTTATTGATAAATGAATAGAATTATTATAGTCATTGCAGTAAAGAAATGTTATTTGTTATGTTACTGAGACGTTATGTTTGACATAATTGATTGAAATTGCCATTTTTCATGGCTTGAGTTTTTTTAATGAAATCTAAAAAAAAAAATGAAAAAAAAAAAATATTTACTTAACCCAAAAAATTTGTGTCTGCATGACATTAACATCTTTGCATTGGACATATAGTAGAAAAATATACAATAAAACAAAACATGAAATTTTATTGAAATTGATATGATTCCCATCAAAATAATTGTTCAGATATTTGATCCTCTAATATTCATTTGTTTTATGCGAACATTTTCATTTTGTTCTTATTTGATATCTAAAGAAAGTCGTTGTGTAGCAACTCTCTTTTAAGACATCCTGATTGAAACCACGATCTCTTGATGATTGCGGTGGTTAAAAAGAAATCAGGCGCAAGCTTGCTTTAAGATTAAACATCTATTCAAATCACAAATGCAATGTTAAATATCATGCACTGATAAATAAGACTTTTTTGGTTCATGTAAACGAGTTTACATTGTGTTTAAATTGCTTCGTAGCATTGGCAAAATGTATGTCAGATACGTTGATGATACTCACGAATAACAGGAAATATTGATAAAATTGATACCGAAAACAAAAACACAAACAAACAGGAAAAATTTACAATACAACCTATAACAGTACTATTGGACAAGCCTATTATCAAATGTACAAAACGTTAATAAGCTCTCGATCTTCCCGAGTCTGGACAAGAGTGCAAAACATTGAAACAATCACAACGGAACATTTGCAACCAGCAATACATTCCTGTATTGACAAAATTTAAGAAAGAAAAAAACATAATAGGCACATTGTTGTGCTTTACAGAGGGGTGGGTCATAAACAATCATAGTAAGTTAGCTTAAATAATTAGGAAGACGTAATTTGATAACCGGCCGTAAAACCCATGCTAAATAGGGGCGTCCGAATTATTTGCCACTGAACATTTAACAAAAAAATTAATCAATGGATCAAATGTTCTACGTACAATTTGATTTTCGGTTCCTCAACGATATTTTAAATGTAAACTATACAAGTGAAATAGGTGGACACAATACTGATAGCTCTATCATCAAAATAAGCATAGATGTAGAGGAAAGAAGAAATGCCAAATCAATTTGGAAAAAAATCTTCACACCACGTAAAAGTGCAATTTATTGAATAATAGACAGTTTCAAAGGTTTCAAAGAAATAAAATGCGTTAAAATTGAATATAAAAAAAATCAATAGTGTGGATTTAAGAGGAAGCAAATACCTATTAAGTACCAATAGTAGAACACAAAGGAAAAATTCATCGAAATCTAATGCTCTTAAAAAGACAATGAAAACAACATTTAAGGCCCCGTTGTGTCTTTTTTGCAGAAACGGAAGAAGGCACATTGTCCAAAATCAAAACCAGCTTTTGGTTTATGCCAACAAACATTGATTTTAGTTGAACAAAAATCAGAAAGTCGTTACTAAAATCAATTGTGATAAAAAAAAATATATGCAAATAGACAGAGGACGTCATCGCTGGCAAACAAGTATACTACAATGTATAAATAAACAGCTCCGCTGGTAAAAAGTTCCTGCTGGTAAAACATGCATGTAAATATCCCATGGTGTACATTAAATTGCTTTAACTTTGCCAGTCATAGTCCCATAACAAATAATTCTTAATCAAAAGAGAGCTTATACTTTCACCAATCCAAACAACAGCGTAAAAGAGAGTCGAAAGATACCGAAGCTACATTCAAACTCATAAGTCGAAAATAAACTGACAACACCATGGCTAAATATGAAAAAGACCAACAGACAAACAACAGTACACAAAACACAACATAGAAAACCAAAGACTGAGCAACACGAACCCCACAAATATCCACTGCTAACTCTTCCTGATCTTAGGTGCTCAGGAAGAGTAAGCAGATCCTGCTCCACATATGGCACCCGTGAGTTAGTAAACGACATGTGAAAAATTGCCTCAAAATAAGACCAATAACTCAAGAAAAATATGAAAAGTTATTTTTTGAACATTGATAAAATAAGGCGAAAAGGGCTACTAGTATTATAATCTGTGTTCCTTTGTGATTTTTCGTGTGCGTATCCGGAATTTTCTACTTTCTCTAGTCGGAAAAAGATGTCGATGAACGTGAAATAACGTGCACAGATAAATCTTATAAAGTATAGTATTTAGGGATTGCACTAATTGAAATAAGCTATATGATGAATTGGGATTAACAAAATTATAAGGTGGAGTTATCATCAAATAACCACTTATGCACTTTCTCAAATGAATTATACAATGGTTTTAAATTTCCTCAATCAGATTTTAAGGACTGTCCAGTCCATACTTGCACCAACTTATACATCAGAATCTTTGTTTTGATAGCTTCCATGTAATCAGCAACCCTCTTTCAAGGACATTATAATAGGATACGTAAGCGCATGGATGTCATATCAACTTCATTTGCAGGTGTTATATGTCTGTGATGTATGTTTATACAGTTTTGGCTGCTGCATCACATTATTGTCACATTAACCTGTTATGTCTGTTTGAGTTGCTCATCCAATTTTGTCAATACATTATAACAAGAACAATACACAGCTGTCATTCAAGTGTGAGGTCAAGTTAGCTATAGAACCAGTTTTAACCCACCTTTGTCTTCGGAAAATGCCTGTACCAAGTCGAGAATAGGGCAGTTGTTTTCACTTGTTCCGTTGATTGATAGCGTTTGATTTTGTCAGTTTTTGTGGACTTCCCCTTTTTGAATTTGCCTTGGAGTTCTGTATTTTTGTTATACTTTTTTTCCTTATATCTTGCTGCATATAAAATTGAAAAGTTCATAAAAAGAAATTTGAGATTAGTTCTCAAGTCTTAAGGTTTTGTCCTCAATCCATCTTCATTGTCAACTTTTAGATGTTAGTCAAGATAAAATGAAGACTTTACAGTATCTGCGGTATTCTTTTTCTGAGGTTCCATGGGATAAAAGCGTTTAATCCATCTTTAAGTTAATAATTGAGAGAACAACATTTATATAGCTGAATGTGATGATGCAATCTTCTATTCTTATTGTTAAGCTCCCGTGTGAAGAATGCTTTATATGAATAAAGAAAATAAGCAGCAAAAAGAGGAGCACAGTTGTTTCCCCTAAGAATGCAGATTGTATATTGCTTATTATATATTTTGAAAATATGTCCTCCAAATTAAACGTAACAAATATTTTCTCAATAAAAAAGCAAGCATCTTTTAATACCAGTTTCAGAGAACATTTTGTTTTAACCAGTTGTTATACTGCCGAGGGATCAAAGCAGATATATGATTTTTCAAAATATCTTCTTTGATAAGTGTCTTGGGAGTAAATACTGGGTTGCAATTGCCAATACCTATTTACTGTATTGTGCAGGTTATGTAATGCGATTTACAAGCAAAAATAATATTGTTCAAGCTTTGTCTGCATGACAAAAACATATTTGTCGTAGACGTAGGACATGAATTTGGAAACATCTAGGTCTTTGTAGCATGAGCGTGAGTAATTAAGTTTTTTTTAATTTTTTTATTCTTATTTGTATCAACGACGTCACAGCCTTGAGCTTATTCGGGAATTATTTCACGTTGTGTCGATTGTCTAGCATAATCTTTGACTTAATCCATTCGTATTTTAAAGTTGTGTTTCCCGTTTAAGGATTAAGGTAGTATAAAATTGAAAATGGACATTGGGAATGTGTCAAAGAGACAACAACCCGTCCAAAGAGCAGAAAACAGACGATGGCCAGCAACGGGTCTTCAACACAGCGAGAAAATCCCGCACCCGGAGGC